GACTGAGTCATGTCGGTAGATGTAGACTACCTGGTTGGGGACCGCGAGATGATAGCAACCGATGGTTAGAGACCCTAAATGACATGGCTCAAAATCGTTTGCAATGGCGCAGGTGCATCCACTCTTTGTATTCTCCCGAATTCTAATCTTCTGAAACGATCATGTTCCTTCTTTTCTCTTTCCAAATTTATTCCAATGGATTATACTCCTTGAATAACATCTTCAACCCTAATCTTTCCGATTACTGCTTATAATTTTACTACCTCTACCACTATGGGATTTGAATCGACAGTTGTATCTCTGTGCTAATGTGGTGTGGCAACTCGAACTGGTGTACGTACGTACGAAGTTCTACGTTGTTACTGACTGACTGAAATGCTTAAATAAAGGTATAGTTCATGCTACTAAGTATATCAACATTGGTAAGCAAGTTGAGTATTGAATCAGAAAGATTTCATCAGCCATAACTAAGTAAAGTTAGGTTTTGGTACTTCACACAATAAGTGTGACCCTAAATAGCCTAGTGAAACTGTGCTGTGTCTATGTTACGCCACTTCGATTTTTGAACACGTCGACAGGACATTGGTCACTTATGGTGGAATCATCTAGTGACTAATGATGTTAGCCATAATTTACTTCAGGGATATCATGAATCGACCGGTAAGGTGAGGAATCTTTATTGAATGATTTGGTCAAGAGACTTATTTTACATTCCGAACTAACGCCTACACAGACTGAGCGCAGCCAGGTCTATCTTCTCACTTAATCATCATAGGTTTGCCTTACGACTGGCCTTTATGAACGTGTAAAAGATGAGTAATTGTTAACCAATATAATTTGTTTCATGAGTTGAGGAAACCTTAGATATTTAAAAGTAATCAGACGGCGGAGTTTATCTTTAACATTTCCAGTAATTAGTCTGTATCATGTAAATGTTTACCAAGTTCCACGTTAAACAAACACCTTCCTAGTTGGTTGGAAGAGACAGTCTCCAAGTATTTAGATTCTAATCGAATTCTGTAGACTAGCTATGGATGTCAATAACCTAAATGTCTTTTTTCAATATTACGCGTTGATCCCAGCAGATACGAACAATATTTCTAAGACATCTGTGGTCAAATACTATTAGCTTACGAGTATCTACTCTTAATGGCCACGTTTCGCTGCCGTAAAATAATACGGAACGAACTGTCGCGCGGTATACTCGTCCTTTTATTGATAGACGGATATCTCGACTTCTCCACAGCTGAAGTTGGCAAAAGCCAAACGAGCGTTTTGGACCCATGCTAAAATTTCGTCAGACAAAAACCCATTAGGCTGGTCAGACTTCCAAGACAGCTGAAGTTGTCAACGCGTTCTACTACTTTACTCACTATCCTTAGTTCAGGTGTTGACGTAGACCAGTCCTGAAGCAACAAATTGCATTCAGAGGTATAGAAGAGCATTCCATACATTCTGTCGTTGTTGCTTAGTGCTACCAAAAGACTCTGCATTTTATTAGTATCTTCATCAAACAGGAATCTTTTGCGTATACTAAGTCGATAAGTGGACTTCCTGGTAGGAGATCAATACCCGAGAATTCAGTCGACGAGAATGTTATTTCCATCAGTAGGTCTATGATGAAGTTGAACAACAATGAAGATAGCATACAACCTTGCCGGACACCACCTGAGGTTGGAAAATCAGATGACAGTTCGCCATAAGCTCTGACTCGACTGGTAGTGTTCGAGTGTAGAGCCTTCACAAGGTTTATGTACTTTTGAGGTACACCTTTCAATGACAGACAATGCCACAGTACCTCTCGGTCTACAGAGCCAAATGCTGCTTTTAAGTCAAGAAAGATCACCATTGTCGGACACTGATAGGCGTGCCTGTGTGCTAGAACCTGACGGATGATATTATTATTATTAATGGCTTTATTCGATATTATATTTTGGTACAATATAGAATTCTCAGCACAGGTTATTTCAACAAGTTATTTACGCAACAACAACAAAAAACAGTAACAAATACAAAAAAGAAATGAAAAAGGTTCTTCTAAAAAAAACCCGGAAAACTGTACAACTTTTAAAATTAAGGAGATGTTAAGAATGCAAGTTATTGACTAGGTTAACTCTAACAACCTGTTCGTCACAGAGTACATTTTCTAGGTAAGGTATTATATAACTTTTGCTTGCGTGCATGGATTTTAATGTAATTACGTCTCGTTCTACCAAAAGATATACAAGGAGAAAGATAAGAGTGAAGGGGATGGCTAGTATCTGATAAAATAACACCTGTCAGGAGTTTGCATGATTTTAATTGTCTATCCACAACCATAATAATTATGACCTCGAAAGATTCACCACACGTCTTGCTATGTGGTTAGTGCAGCCAATTCTTAGTTCCAGTGTCTTTTATAAGTCTGAAGAGCTGTCTTGTATCAGCTACGGGCGCCGCCTTTCTCATCTCTTGGTTTTGTTGCCCACCACTGCTCACGGTTGTTCCTTAGACTTTTAGTTAACCTAGAATTGATTTGTTTTCGCTCTTCATCTTGTTCAGAGCCTGGTGCGATGAGTTTACGAGAATCCACCAGTGCAATAGACTTAGAAATCCATTGGTTTTTTGTAACCCTTTGGTTTAAATCACTGATAATGTCACGACTGTTTTTATATATTTCTAAGCGACATCTGGGTCAGCCTCGTTTTCAGAACTACCTATGAGTGACCTCAGTTGTTACTGGAATCTTTCGGATTTCTCGTTACTGAGTTGAATTCTAATAGGTGTTTTTAGTGTGGTTTTTCTGCGTCCAGTGAGGCACAAGCAAATGCGTGCCCGTATTAGCAATATGCAACAGATCAGGAAATGTAAGTGTGCAGAATCCTAGCCCGAATTTTTTTCAGCTGTTACATCTGTATTTGGTTTGGGACGTTACGAACAAGAACAATTCCTTTTTAAAGAATTTAGTGAACCGAATATTTCTGAGAACGTTTTCAATCAAAATAAGTGTTCATCACTGGAAATTTGAAACTCAGATGCAGGTTTATTTTATATTTCTACTTTCAACTAACTTTAGACTTTTGCATATTTCGAGGTCGGCTTATCTTATTTCAACATTGAAATAAATTGTAATAAAACGCTTGAAATGTACGATCATTTTACTCCCAGCATTCACCACACATTAAACGTCCTTCTGTGTATCCATAATGCACTCGCCTTAGTTGCAATCGGATTAAATCTCAGTGGTTTGGCACTCCGATTTTCATTCACTTCATTTATCTGCTGAATCAGGGTCAGGAAAATCTGCGTAACTCTAATCTATGGACGACCTTTGAATGAATCTTAAGTAACCTTGAAAAATATTAGCCAATCAGCAAACGGTCAGTATAGAGTAAAAATATGTTATACAAAACCAAAGTGGATACACTGCTTATACGTGGTTCATAACTTGTTAAGGTTAGAAAGAGGTTCTAAAATCGTAATGCATGCAGTAGAGGAAATCACCCATACGGCTACAGAATAGTCGGCCTCTGGAGCCATGATAAAGTCTCAAAAACTTCCAGCCTCGACCACATAGCTCCAATATTGTTTATGTGCACTACGGTTGTTGAGCGCACAAAATGCCACTTGTGGATAACGACATGATGGACATAACCAAGCCTATGTAGGAGTCTATACGCTCTACAAACATCCGTATATATTGTAGTACTTGGCTGCAGCTAGTGTTACTGGTGCTTTTATTATCCAGTGCGCAATATTTGCCTTAGTTAGGGATTATATATAGGGTCTTCATCACGAATTGACATAAGCTATAGTGCCAGAAATTTATTTAGCCAAATGGAAGAAAGGCTTTCGCGTTAAAATCCGAAATCTATTAACTTATACCTGATTAATTCGTTCAGAAATTATAGTGCCACCACTTTATTTTTTATAGCCACTTAATTATTACGTTTTGTACAAAATGCCCTGTGAACCGACTGTACGTTAGCATTAAGCTCTGAAGTTGGCGCTGAAATCTCTAAGACGCCTCTGATTGCCTCGTCCATAAATTGGAGTCTCGCTGGAAAGTCAATAGAATCTCGAGAATTTATCCTTTCCTGTCCAGCCTGGGTCCAATAGAATTCACTGATTTCCAAGCACCTCCAGGTTGTATCTCCTCATTTCCTCAATTATTTGTCTGGTCCTTCCGATCTCCCATATTGTCGGAACATTCGATGTACCTACATTAATTGTTGCTGCGGTTGTTAGAAGAGGCATCGGCCTCGTGATTCTTGAAGAATATCGGTTTTCACCACGAAACGTCACAATTCTTATTCAACTCGGAGAACAGAATTTAAATGGTTGTTTGTATTCCGATTTTTTATCAAGTTGTTTGCTACGTGGTGGGATTGCTGACCTCATGCTCAACCCTCCTCCGTTACCAATGGTAACCGTAGAAGAGAAACAAATGGGATTGGTTACCCAGTAAAATTACTCAGCATGTCGATGGGTCGCAGTAATATGGTTTTAGATGTCTGGTTAGAACAGATTTCCCGGTCAACAGGCTAGACGTCCGTTTACAGAGCAAATATACTCATGTTGGTCTATTCTTCACTAGATTGGCAACCACGGTTTGCGTGCATTTAGGGGTTTGAGACTAGGGTTATTATCAAACTGGTTTGTCCTCAACTAATTATATGGTAATGTAGCCCCTATGAACACTAGTGAAAGGGTCATTCAATGTAGTTGACAATGCTGCACTTTTTTTCGAACAATTTGATAAGATTGTCAGGACATACTACCTCCCTTTAACTCCATTTGCTTGAGACCTTCAAAATAGTAGCAGTTGAAAACATTTCGTGTATTATGCTTTTGCTTCAACCCGAATGTTTTCCAGTACCTTGAAATCACCGACTTAGAGCTTGACTTATTGATTGCGAGTCCTAGTAATCACTGACTTATGAAATTGCATTTCAGCACCAACTCTCCTCGCAACTTTTGTTTTTACTAAACACTTATCGCTCACACATCAAAAGCTGTTAATTATTTACATATATTTATATGGAAAATATCATAGTTAAAATACATACGCAACTCGTAAGGATAGTCTTTTAAAACAAACGATAGCCCATGGTTCCTCAGCCTAGAAAAGAGAAAGAAGCTATTTGTTTATTCAGATTCAAATAATAACAACAGCTTCCAATCAGAGATTGAAGCTTCATATGGCACCTACGAGGTCATCACAACACGAAAAATACTTACCAAAATCTGCCAATTTTTCCGTATACCACATTTGTTAGTGTAGCTGAAGGTATGTGAAACATTTGCCTTTCCAAAAGGGATGAGCTCCACAAGCGGCAATTCCAATAAAAGACAAATAACTGAATGAGTGGTGACCCACTGATCATGGCTTGTCATAAAAATACCAAATTGATTTGACAAATTAACTATTCGCTGATGTCAAAGCACTAACTTTGACTGTCTGACTGAAAAATGTTCACGTGAGTGAACCATAGAATTGCGTTAGTCATGAGCCAATTAATCATGATCCAAGATCGAGATTTCATATATGACAGGAAAGAGAATTGTTGAATCTCTAATAAACTCGAATATGGCATGAAGGGCATATTGGTGGTGCGCTATAATGTTCAATTCAGTATATCTCCCAACCCATGTAGGTTTGCGTTTAGCCTGAAAGTAACTCATGCACTGGGGGAGTGTGAACAGTAATGAGAAATACGGAACAGAAAAAAAAACAACAGAAAATGTGAGTCAACAACTCATCGAGCACTAATTATTGAAAAGGAAAGTAAACAAGAATCATGAAACGACACAAGAATGAGATTCAGGTAACTTAGGCAAAATATCGTTCGACTGCTCCATATAAATACAAACACACCTTTTTTCGCAAATGCCTTGTCTAAACAATATCCGGGCCTAAAAATGTAAAATGACGTTGTATGCACGGGTATTTTATCGTATTTATTGTTTACAAATACTAAAGGGTGATTTTGTCATGCAAACACTACTACAAGTAATAGTGTTTTTCGAACACTGCACTGTCATTTACATTCTAATCAGCATTTTACGGTACACTTTTAATGGGTTTTCATCTGGCCTAAAGACAATTTACGCCTAAATGAGAAAAGCAGTGTCAGAGTAAGGATGATATGGAAATAATAAGAAATAGGCTGAATACTCAGTAATGATACAGCATTTGAAGATAGCTGTCGGGAACTAACAAAAATATTACGTAAGTCAGCTTGGAATTTTAGTTACTTTTCAAGTGCATGTTATAAATGTAGTAGACGTTTTCAAACTTGTCATAAATTTACATTGCTTTTGTGTTTATTGCATCAAAACCATAATTGGTCTACTTTACATTGAACTGTTGCGATTGAAGCTTGAGATTTTTCTCAAATTCATTTTTTGATAACCCATTTTTGGTCGAATCTCACGCCTGCTAGCAACTTTTTATTTTGTCTGTTTTTTCACTACAATTTGCAGCATTTCATGCTATTTTATTACTCGATGGTTGTATATTAGTGAATTTGTGATGTTAAGTTTTTACACTGGTTGAGTGTATTATTTATATATGGACAACCGAACTGTTCGTTTTCTGTTAAGGAGTGAAGTGTGATGGGTTGAACAACTGGTTCCACAAAACACATACTCGTTAGGAACTTATTACACACAAGTGATTCTTAAAACCTTACTCCCATTAGCTCCGTATATTTCACTGTTCGAGTACGACCTTGTAAGTGGAGGTACAGAAATACCTAAACAGCCTACTGCAAAAGAGACGGAGGGTGAAATATTATATGGTGTCGGTGGTCAAGACTAATATTGTACTGTCAGTTTCAAATAGTTCTGATATGGCTGTCGCGAGTAAAGAGAACGACCACTCTCACAAACAGCGCACACTTCATTGACAGGCTTTTAGTAAGCTCTCATTGAGAGTCACAGAATAATCCACCGAAAATCTAATGTAAAACCATAGTTAACTATAGCACACGAGTAAAAAAACATGGGTACATTGAATATAATCGTAATCTTGTAGAATCAAAAGACCCTAATTCCGTTGTTAAATCAAATATCGTAAATGGAAAGCCGGTTTTTCTAATTGTAGTTAAGAAATCTAAGGTTGATAAAAGTGACAGGTTACTTACTTCCCATAGAGTCAGAGAAAGTTCTACGCCCAGAACTCGTCTCGATCATGACGTTGGGGGAATAAAAATTCCACTTGACCGGCTAACGCCTCAAAATATTTCTGAGGTCACCTCACTGAAATTTTAAAGACAAGGCAGTCAAACAAATGTGAAAAAGTCGAAACAAACTTCTGCAGTTGGTATTTAAATCTCCCAAATGAAGTTGAATCAACACTAGAGAATGGCTATAAACTACAAGAATCAAGAAATTCTGTTCGTCAAGGCTTGTCGAAAACCGGGAAGCTGACAATGAAACAAATCCAAGATCAGGTGTTCAGGAACAGAATACTAGCAATTCTAATTTTCAGGTGGTGTAACTTCGAAAGAGAATGATGCCGAACCCACTTTAGGCGTAACGCGAAGCTATATAAGCGATCTTTGAATATGTGACAGAAATAATCAGCACTTACTTAACAAGCGATTGGATCTTGACGTATAGTCAGATTATGTATGATCATGTATAATTTTTGACGGAAGCTTGGTTGGCTCGATCATCAGTCAATAGGGAACTTGGTTCGGAAAATTTCACTCCACTGAAATATGACAGAACCCAGAAATGTAATGATAGAGGAGTGGCTTTGTTCATCAGAAATACTATCCCTATTGAGTTTATTAACATAACCCAAGAAATCGAAATACCTGAATCAGTTGCTGTTTGAGATGCAAGTGAAATGAGCTGCTGATTGGTTTGTTTTACCGCAGTCTAAACTTTGAGGTGAATGAAGTCTTGCTAAACGAATTCAGTGTTTGGTCTTCGAATAATCGATGTTGAATTTTGGAGGACATTATTGAACCTACTGCAGACTAGGAAAATTGAAGTGTGGAGTCATTATAAAATTTCTTCAAACAGGAACTGGATGGAACAGTGATTACATGTGCACTAGTGTGACATTTCAAGGAAGTAAACAGGCGCGACCCGGACTCTGGATCACCTTCACTAAATCTCATATTGATTCGTTATGTGGATGGATTGTCAAACCCCGACAGTATGCTAATTTAAGATGAGTGAACCTGCAATCCAAATCTTTTCTTTCCATACGGTTGTCAAAACTGTTGCGTCTGCTGAAACTAGACCAAACGTTTTTAAAGCAAAAATTCAGGGAATAATGCACTCACAGTTCGCACCAGCTTGGGAGGTATTCGGGTATTTGTTCACAGCACTGCACGTCCCTTGTACTGCATCAAGGAGCTGCTCACCATGGTTCACTAAGGAAGTTTTTAACCTACTTTATAAGGGAAAAGAACGTGAGGGTGATTTAGGCTATTAGGTTATAATGAAACAAAATCTCGATATTAGGAAGTTCAGAGTGCCTTTTTCAACCGCTCTCAAATTCAGAATGCCCATCACATACGTATTTACACGTAAACTAAAGCAATGAGAGGATATGCGACATCCCCAAATCATATGGAGATAATAGTATTACGATACTAGTGCAAGATGATAGAGCTCTGACTACCTTAGCAGGGCATGTACAGTAGAGACGCTTATTTGGTTCATATTGATCCCCCTATTCATACCCGAAAGTGACTATTAAGGAACTGAATTTATTTGGTCCAACAAATTAGTCAAGTGTTAGTAAATCAGCGAGACCCTATGAAATATATCTTAGGTTACCAAAGGAACTACTGAATTTCATTACAGACCTCTTAAGAATAAGTTTTGATCTACTCATAACCCAGGGTAAAGCAACAAAAAAACACCACACAGGGTCTTGTCTTGAAAACAGGTACGAGAAACAAATCAAAGAACCGTCGGGTCATAAGCAGTGTTTTTGTCCAAATTCTAGTATAAATCATTCGAAATAAGTATCCAGACAATATCCTGATATTTTCTGAAGGGCCCATGTTGTACCTACACAAGCTACCAATTTTGGGGAAGCCGCTATAGTAAACTTTGGGGAAATGGCACAAAAACTCCAAGATTTCCACAGACCTAGGGTTTTTCCCCAAACTCTGGAGATTTCCCAAAGTTGGGAGCTTGGGTAGTTTTAGAAAACATTCAATAATTTTTACCGTTGCCGATGTTGAGCAAAATGAAGTCCAAATTTACTCGAATTTAATGTGCAGTTAATTATTCCTGAACATGCACTGCTAGGTTTATTGTGTTTAGTATACCACAAGAAAAATTGACATTGAGTAAGTGGTTCTCGGCGAATAAATTTAGACACGTATCAGAATCCTGAAAACATCTGATATTGAGTTGGCAGTGAAAAAAGGTTTGCCCCGAGCATACAATCTTTTTGTGTTCTTGTTGCCTACACCATACAGTGCAAAAAGGATGATCAACTTACCACTATCTCAAGAGTTGGTTTGGTCATTCTACGTTCTCAGAGGACTAAGTGAGTTAATTATCGTATCGTTATACTGGAATGTATGACATCACAAACGTGGTACAACATTCATTCCATATTAACACGACAAAAATATATGGAACAAAAGATTCAGTAGTTGACTTCATAAACTAATAAAATCACTAAGGCATTCACGATGTTAAGCGTCATAACCTACTACAAACAATAACATAAAACAGCCGGTCTTTTAGCCGTTTTACGAATGAAAAGGATTAGGGGCGAAGAAACATGACACCGATGGGATCAATGTTGGATACCGGCATGATACCGCCACAAACAAACAGCGCGGTCTCAGTTTTAGTTTTTAAAGACAGGAGGCTTCATGGCCTGTGTTAGTTCTGGTAGTTATAGTCTCTCAGTTGATCCTTACTTCTTTTTGAAAGAGTCAACGGATGAAGTTTCAATCACGTGCTGAAGTAATGAATTCCACTCGTTGATGATTCGATGGGAAAGTCTACATTAAGCTGACAAATAATTTGTTCTGGGCTTGTGAACTTTTACGGAGTGTCCTCGTAAATTCTCCATTTTAGAAGACAGGAAAAATGAGGGCATATCAGGTGCAAATTTATCATCAAGTAATTTGAAAACTGAAGTAAAGTCACATCTAAATCGTCGACACGATAACGGGGACATATTTAGCTTAGCCAGTCGAGCATCATACGAGAGCTTCGCTATTCCGGGGATCAGCTTAGTTGCTGTTCTCTGAACCCATTCCAGAAGCCCACTGTCTTTTTTAGGCAGGGGCTAGCCGCTTGTATACAGTACTCAAGTTTATGACATACAAACACTATATGCAAATTCAAAAAAATTTTGGCGTCAACATGCTAAAGGCCCTACGTATTGATCATATGGTTCTAAAACCCTCGGCGGCTATCACACGGCAGCGTGTGGTAGTCTTTAAGTTTAGGCTAACGATTACTCCTAATTCATTGTGTGTCTGGACAACAGGCAGCTCAACGTTATTCATGATGTATGCATCTGAACCTTGATGACCGATGTACATCACAATACACTTGGAAGTATTTGTCGACAACTGCCAGATTTGAGAACATTCAGATAATTTGTCCAGATTATTTTGAAGTTCTAAGCTATCACCCCTATTGCTTATCTCTGTCCATATCCTGACATCGTCGGCATTTAGTAAGACCGATGATGATATGGGACGAGGAAAGTCATTTACATACAAGAGGAATAACACTGGCCCCAAAACTGTACCATGAGGCACTCCACTAAGCACAGTCTTTCAGCTAGACAACTTGGAGTTCACCCGTACTCCTTTTTGGTGCCTCCAACCCCTACATTTCCTAACCTACAGCCGGTTGTGAAGTACTTTGTTAAAAGCTTTGCTGAAGTCAATGTAGCCGTCGTCTATACGTAATTTTTTATCTTTAAGAGCGCACCAGGTTTCAAAAGCCACTAACAAGTTAGTGAGACAGGAATAAGTTATTCTAATATACATGTTGCTTTTCAGAAAGAATCCCCTTTTCGTCGACCTACTTATACAGTGTCTTCTGAATAATCCTTCCCAGAATTTTAACAACCACACTAGTTAGGCTGACAGGTTGATAATTTTCAGATTTATGTTTCGAACCTGTTTTGAAGACAAGACTTGATATATCGTTCTTCCAGTGTTTTGGTAAATGACCCTGAGTTATATATAGATCAAAGCATATATTTAATGGTTTCGCGACGAAGTTAGCTAATTCCTTTAGTAACCTAGGATGTAGTTCATCGGTTCCCGTAGATTTACCTATGTCTAGCTTATTTAGCAGACCAAATACATCGAGTTATTTGATGTTCGCGTTGCCCAGTGTGTGTGTGGATTTGTATGGACTGACGGGAAGAGTGTTTTTAAGGTATATACATTGCTAAAGTAGTTCGAGAATACTTGAGCTTTACGAAAGTCGTCCTTCACTAATGATGAAGCATTACCATCTCCCCACATTGCTGAAATATTTCTTTTTTTTGTCCCTCGGTCTATATACGAACACAAGCGTCCCAGTTGATGTCTCCGGAGAGGCAATATCTAGAATAGCATGGTTATCTTACTACTCGGTAATGTCTTATTCCATTTGAAGATTATTAACATATGTATGTACTATAAAAACCGAAATGTAGATGAATGTATTAACTTAAATTCTGAATTCCAAGTATATCAACATGCAGTATGATTACATGAAACCCACGACAATCTTTTGAGTTGGTCTTTATGTCACGTTGTAACACTTATTACCATTATTTGCTTGAAAGCGGGAGAGATTGTAGTGGCATTGGACCATAACCACACTATCCTCAAAGCTGAATACGAGATTACTCGGAAAATAGGTATTCAATATTTAACGCGAAGAAATACCTAACAATGGAGAAGGCGCGAATAATGAGTTGAATAGACTAGAGTTGATCGAACGGCATGGCTCGGCCATGCAGGCGTGGTCTCTGCTGAATGTTACCTTATATCTTCTATTCATATTAAATATATTGTTCTTTCTCTAGCCTAACCTTGTTCTACATCATGTATTGGTAATTGATACGATACAGCGAGTTGGTGTAGTCGATGGTGTGACTTCCACGTGAGATCTTATAGATTAGGCAGTCATATCATGACAAATCCACAGATTTAGGATTAGGTCTATTATTAGAGCAGTACTAATATCATAGTAGACCACAATTCTACATTGGTGAGCCCAAGTAAAGAAACGCAACCTATTATTGTTAATCCTTATAAGATCTCAAACAACATCATCCAAATCAGGACCAGTGAATGTACGAGGGGGAGAAACATGTTATGCTAGCAACAACATACGCATACTTCAAAAGTCGGATCAAGCGTTTACGCTACAAAATGGAAATCGAATTTACAAAATAGTCTCATACATATTTTCGCAAGTTCAGTCCACGCAGGGCTTGTCCTTCTCATTCCAGTGCATTTTCCCTTTGTTGCCTGGAATAAAAAAATTCATATCAGTACAACATATAATGATTTTTAATACAGTTACGATGTTCATGAATAAAAAATCAGCGAGTTTGGTTTTCGCTGTCTAAAAATATTTAGGTTAGCCGTACGTAAACCAATTAAGAAATAAAATAGTTTTATAACCTCAGAATGTTTCATATTTGGTTCAGAAACCACAATCGCATTTCGACCACTAGTTAGTAATGGCGGGAAAGCATGACATTGGTTACTGGGATAAATCAACAGAGTGCTTCTGTAGTTAAAACGTCAAAGAATTCTAGCTGCTTGCAAAAGTTTTACACGTCATACGTCACCTAAGGTGAATAACTTTATGCCAGTACAAGATATGTCGGAAATAGGATGTTTTACAAACACGTGATGTTTATAAAATAATAATATTTACATTTCTGAGTAAGTTTTTATAAATCCAATCGCAACTAACACATCAACACTACTGTCCTCACTTTAGCTAAATGACTTTCAGCCAACGGGATGCTAAGCGTATTATTTTTACAAGTCTATTCAGATCTACACCCATTTTTGGAGGGTGGGTACAGATTTTTGTCAACTCACACTGTGAGCCTGAAGACTCACCTATAACTGTTTTGTTTTCATTGAATATTACCGATTCTGCCCTGACTCATTTTGGCCTTTAAAAACATCGTAGGGAATTTTTCGTGTTATAACTGAACTGTGTGAAAAACCCTATTGTCGAATTCTCGATCGTTAATACTCTATGGTTGTTTGAGTGTAATGCGATGAGTATAAAGTGCGACACTGAAAAGTGATTGGTTCCTAACCACACGACTCTTCAAGCGGAACATAAAACAAGTGGAGAAACTCACACTAAAGTTTCGTAGGGTCAATGAAATGTCATTGGATCTTAGCCAAATCACCCGAAAGTCAGGTCACTAAATCTCGAACAGTTCGCCGATCTTCGTCAAGTTCAAGGCCGGCCAACACGCATCAATTACTTGCACGATATAAAGCGGTCCATATTTTGGTGGTCGTACCTTGTACTTTCTACTTAATTCTACCAATATATTCCCGTAATAATGCCGTTTTTTCCTACTGTCATCACATATTGGAATGCTCTTCCCTAATGAGTAACATAATAAAAGAGAATTAGACTGAGTAGTCATACCTTAACTATTCCTCAATGAACATTGTCTGCTCTACTTTGCGTCCTTTCTTTTTCTTACACCTTTTCTCAGCCCCCTCGTAATATGCCACCGAAAGCAGATATGGAACGGGTGACTTCGTCCTGCACCATAATTAATGCCTCAGATATTCCAGATTGATATAGTGTTGCGGTTACTAGAAGCTCAAACTTCACATGGATCTATTATCGACCATCATTTGCACGTCGCAGCGCAACCTTCATAAAGCGTGTTTACTGTGACATTAACAATACGAATCTTACTAAAACCATCTACATTCATATCTTATTAGATATCAACGGAACTGAGTAATTTTTTGTGGTGAAAATAGTATTTAGTAACAATTTTATCTTGTCTGTAAACTGGCATGCCTCATGTAACAAACTGTTATTTGAGAATAAATTATTATTATTATCATCATTATCATCATTAGTGGTAGCAGTACTAATGGTATTTGGATACAATGATAGAGTGATCCACGTTCTGTGCTGACCACGAGGGGTGACTTTGCTCTAAGCTGGTTGGTCACACATTCAAGTAGGCCCCCAGTCATTTGATACAGATCATCTGTGCCAGTGTCCCACACGTTGAACATTTAGAGAAAGCAAAAACGGAAATCGCGGGAATAGTAAATCCAGATGACATGGCTTGACTATACTGTGCAGTCGTTGTGTCATTAGTCCCTAACTACACAATCTTTGAAGCCGAGTATATAATTACCGAGAATTTTTATATTCAACGTATAACGCTCGGAGAAGGTCGGTAATGGTGAACATGATGACATTATTTTAATCCAAGAATCATTCAGATGGCGTGGCTCAACCGTGAAGGTGTGGTCATTGTTGTGTGACTCATATCTTTACGTATCGAATACATCGTTTTATCCTCAACCAAATGTGTTCTTCCTAAGTGCCAAACATCGTTTTGCTGAATGTCATGACGACGAGTTTGCGAATACAATGATGTGACCTCTACGTAAGGTCTTATTGATTAGGTTGTCACATCGTGACGAACCTATAATTTTGGGTTCAGGTTTAATATTGTAGCAAAACTAATAAAGATAAAGACCATAATTCAACATAGTCTCTTCCTCTTTATTCTGAATATATTTTTTTCTGTACTGAATCCGAATGTATTCTCACAGGGTTATCGTGGGGGTCATGGTTTTCACGAT